GCCCGACCAGCCGTAACCCTAACCCCAAAAAACCGAAACCTAGCCCCAAACAGTACTCAGTAATCAATATTCACTACTCACTACCCACTACTCACTACTCGCTACGCACTACTCGCTTCTCACTACTCATTGCTCACTACTAACGACTCACTACTCACTACCCACTGCTCACTACTCACTATTCCCAACTCACGACTCACGACTCACTATTCACTACATCCTACTCAATATTCAGTACGCACTAAACACTACTCTTGCCCACAACTCACGACTTATTAATCACTACTCACTACCTACTACCCACTCCCCACAACCCACTACTCAGTACTCACTGCTCACTACTCACTACTCACTGCCCACAACTCACAACTCACTATCCGTTGCCCGCTACTCCCTACTCCTTACACAATACGAAGTGCTCACTACTCAGTACTCACCACTCGCTACTCCGTACTCGCAACACGCTACCCGATACGCAATATTCACTACCACCACGCACTACTCACTACTACTCCCTACTCCCTACTCACTCACCAGCCACTACTGTGTATTCACTACTCACTGCTCACTAGTCACTAGTCACTACTCTCTACTTGCTACCCCCTACGCACTACCCACTACTCGCCACCCACTTCTGTTTTCTCAATACGGACCACCCACTACTCACCCATCACTACGCACGGTACACTATTCACTACTCACTACTCGCTACTCCCCATTCGCTACTCTGGACTACTCTCTCCTCGCTACTCACCACTCACGATGCCCTACGCGCGACGCACTATTCACTACTCGCGACCCCCTACTCGCTACTCGCTACTCACTATCCACCCCCCGCAACCCACTACTCACTACTCACTACTCACGACTCACTACTCACTGCGCACTACTCACTACTCACGACCCATCCCTCACTCCTCGCTACTATCTACTCACTACGACTCACTATTCACGACTCACTACTCACTACTCTCTATTCACTACTCATTATCCCGAGGCCAGAAACCCCCGCCCCTTCGGGAGAGGCCCCCTCTCCGGTCCCCTGTTCGGCGCAAAGGGGGGGAGGGGGGGGTGGTGACAACCCCCTTTTCCAGCGCCAAGGAGCGGAGGAGGGGGGGGGTCCGGACCCCCCCCCTCCCCCCTTAAGGGGGGCGGGGGTTCGAAAATCTCACTCCCCCTTTGGAAGGGGGGGAAGGGGGGAAGCGTTCTGCGAGCACCCCCCCCCTTTCAATTACTGGGTGACCCAGTGGCGCGCCTTCCATCATCATCACCATCAACAGCAACATAATCATCACCATCCTCATCATCATCAGCATCATCATCGCAATCAGCATGATCATCCTCATCTTCCTCATCCTCACATCGGCAACAACATCCTCACCAAGGCCACCATACACGGTATCATATTCATCAAGATGATCATCAGCATCACCGTCAGCAGCACTCCTATCCCTCATCCCCACAGCCATAAGCATACGACGCAGAAGCCGCATCGTCATGACCATCAGTGTCATCGCCAACATCAGCATCATGGGCATGAGCATGAGCAACATCATCACCATCATCATCAGCGGTAGCGTTACCATCGCCATCATCGACAGCAACATCATCACCACCATCAAGAAACTATTGTTTTATTTTTCGCACCATAGCCCGTTACCGGCGGCGCCTACCCCCCCCCGGGCAACGTAACGATTCGCGCCAGCGGCGTGGGGAATGCCTTGAACAAGTGCCATGCCGCTAGGGCTAAAATGAGGACAGGAAAGCAATTGTATACACATGCGCTGCTAGTACTACTGTACTTCTGCTGCTACTACTACTACCACTACTTCTACTACTACTACTTCTACTACTACTACAACTTCTACTACTACTACTACTACTACTACTACGACTACGACTACTACTACGACTACTACTACTACTACTACTACTACTACTACTACTACGACTACAAGCTACTACTACGTCTACTCAACTACTTACGCTGCAACTGCGCAACAGAAAAACTACTGCTGCTGTTACTATGACTACTGCTACATCTGCACTTACTACTACTACGACTACCACAACTACTACTACTGTCACTACGACGACGACTACTACTACTACTACCACTACTACTACTGCTACTGCTTCTACTACAACTGCTACTACGGCTGCTACTATTTGTACTATAGCTACTACTACTGCTGCTACTACTACTACTACTACTACTACTACGACTACTACTACTACTACTACAACTACGGCTACTACTACTACTGCCACTACTACTACTACTACGACTACTACTACAACTTCGACTACTACTGCTACTACTACTGCTACCGCTGCTGCTACTGCTGCTACTGCTACTGCTACTTTCACTGCTAATGCGACTGCTACTGCTACTGCTACTATGACTACTACTTCTGTTACCACTACTAGACTAGTACTACTACTACTACTACTACTACTACTATTACTACTACTAAACGTACTACTACTACTACTACTACTACTACTACTACTACTACTACTACGACTACCGCTACTACTACTACCACTACTACTACTACGACTACTACTACTACGACTTCGACTACTACTACCACTACAACCATTACTGCGACTACTACTACTACTACCACTACTACTATCACGACTACTACTACTACCACTTCTACTACCGCTGAAAACACTGCAACTGCTCGAACTGCTACGGATGCTGCTACAGCAACAGCTACTACGAATACTGCCTGTGAGGGCTAGTAGTAGTACTACCACTATTACAACCACTACTACCACTACCACTACCACTACCACTCCTACTCCTACTCCTACTACTACTACTACTACTACTAATACTACTACTACTACTACTACTACTGCTACTACTACTACTACTACTACTACTACTACTACGACTACGACTACGACTACGACTACGACTACTTCTACTACTACTACTACTACTACTACTACTACTACGACTACGACTACGACTACTACTACTACCGCTACTTCTACTGCTGCTACTACAACTACTACTACTACTCGTACTACTCCGGCTACGCCTACCTACCACTATTGCTACTACTACTACTACTACTACTACGACGACCTACTTCTGGTACTACTACTGCTACTACTACTACTGCTACTATTACTACTACGACTACGACTACTACTACTACTACTTCTACTACTACTGCTACTACTACTACTACGGCTACTACTACTACGACTATTTCTACTACTGCTACGACTAAGACTACTAGCTCTGCAACTGCGCAAACTGCTACTACTACTGTTACTATAACTACTACTGCTCCTACTGCAATCACTACTACTACTACTACTACTACTACTACTACTACTACTACTACTACTACTACTACTACTACTACTACTACCACTACCACGATTAGTACCACTACTACTCCTACTACGACTACTACTACTACTACTACTACTACTACTACTACTACTACTACTACGGCTGCGACTACTGACACTGCAACGGCCCCAGCTGCTACGGGCACTGCTGCAACATCAACAAATACGAGTACTTCTTCGATCAACACCAGTACCACTACTACTACGACTATGAGTACGACTACCACTACTACCTCTACTACTACTACTACTACTACTACTACTACCACTATCGCTACTACTACTACTGCCCCTACTACTACGACTACTACTACCACTACTACATCAACTACTAGTAGTAGTAGTAGTAGTAGTAGTAGTAGTACTACTACTGCTACTACGACTACTACCCCTACTACGACGACGACTACTACTACTACAACTACTATTACTACTAGTACCACTGCTTTTACTCCTACTAGTAATACTACTACTACTTCTACTACTACTACTACTACCCCTACTACAACGACGACTCCTACTACGACTACGGCTGCGACTACGACTACGACTACTACTACTACTACTACGACTACTACTACTTCTACTACGTCTCTACTACTCACACTGCAACCAGAACAACATGTAGTACTAGCTCAGCCACTACCAATACCCATACCACTACCACTACAATTACGACTTCGACTACGAGTACGACTACTACCACTACTACTACTACTACTACTACGACTACTACTACTAATACTACTACTACTACTACTACGACTACGACTACTACTACTACTACTACTACTACTACTACTACTACTACGACTACTACTACGACTACTACTACGGCTACTACTACCACTACTACTACTACTACTACTACTACGACTACCAACAGTATTGGCACTACAACTAATTACCACTACTATTACTCACGATACGTCTGCCCGTCCTCCTCTTTGTCCTCGTCCTCCTTCTCCTCCCCTGGGTGTCGTAGTAGTACTAGTAGTTTAAAACATAGCAGTAATAATTGTAGTAGTAGTGGTAGTGGTAGTAGTCGTAGTAGTAGGAGTAGTAGTAGTAGTAGTAGTAGGTCGTAGTAGTAGTAGTAGTAGTCGTAGTAGTAGTAGTTTTTGTAGCAGTAGTAGTAGTAGTAGTAGTAGTAGTAGTAGTAGAAGTAGTAGTCGCAGTAGTAGTAGTAGTAGTAGTAGCAGTAGTGGTAGCAGTAGAAATACCAGCGCGCTTGTATACCATGCCTTCTCCTATCAGCAAGTAAGCCGTGACACCATGACACTTTTCCTAAGCGTTCCCAGACGCCACGAGCGCGAATCGTGACGCTACCGGCCCCGTCCCCCCACCCCCCCTCGGTAACGGCCGTTACCGCAAAACATAATAAAAGACGGTCTTCAACGTCATCATCATCATCATTGTCATCGTCAACGTCATCATCATCGTCTTCATTATCATCACCGTCTCATCATCAACGTCAGCAGCATCATCACCAACACCATGATTATTATCATAGCCAAAATCAACCTCCGCATCCAAATCATCAACGACAACAACATAATCTGTCCTCCTCATCCTCCTCCTCCGTCTCCTTATCCTGCTGAGCTCGGCAACGCACGCGCCTGATGCATACAATAGTTCGCGTAATAGCCCGAATCCGGGTCGCCGCCTCCGCGCGGCGCTGGCGGCCAGCTCGCGCGCCGAGGGGCACCCGCTCGATCCAGAAAAGAAGACATGGAGCGAAGAAGGCGTGAGGCGTACAGTCAAAATGCATCATAAGGATGCCCGGTAAGGCCATCCAACTGAGCATCGTTTAACCGATCCGTATCCCCACTGGCGTGACTTGGGCCCCACTGGCCGATCTACCCCCGGGATGGGGATATAGGCTGTTCCGTTCGGTTTCGAGAGGCATGTCCACAACTGTGTTGGTTAGACGGTGGGGATCGGGACAGGGATCGGGATGGGGTTGGGGATCGGTTAAACCATACTGACCAACCCACCCTCCCACCAATGGATGTACCTTGCAGCATTCGGCGGTGTACAAACCTCCCTGTAGTAAACCTCCCCTTAGTGAAAACAGCCTGGGACCGAAACCGACGGACCTGGACCCGCAGAAATGACGCTCTCGCGGACCGAAAACGGCCCATTCCTTGATCGACGTGTCAGCGTAGGAGGTCGATCAACCTCCCATCAATGGCGGCACCTTGCAGCATGGGGCGCAGCACTCGAGTCCAACCTGGCCATCACTGAAGGAACGCTCGCGCGCGGTCCCGACGCCGCTCGCGCGCGGTCCCGATTCCGCTCCACTTGGCGAGGAGGAACACACGCAGGCCGCGCACGGGCGGGAGTGGAAGGCTCCACCTCCTCCTCCTACTACTCCCTCCCTCCTCCTCCTCCTCCTCCCTCCTCCTCCTCCTGCCTCCTCCCTCCTCCTCCCTCCTCCTCCTCCTCCTCCTCCTTCCTCCTCCATCCTCCTCCTCTTCCTCCTCCCTCCTCCTCCTCCTCCTCCTCCTTCTCCTCATCCTCCTCCCTCCTCCTCCTCCTCTTCCTCCTCCTCCTCCTGGAGGAGGGAGGGAGGGAGGGAGGGAGGAGAAAGACCCATTGACAAGACTGTCAGCTCTGCGAGCGGCCTGCATGTGGCGGTCCTTCGGGGCAAGGGCACCGCAACTCATAGCCCGTGTCTACGGGCTGGTCACCCGGGCATGCGCAGGCTGTTAATCAACCCACCTGCATCAACATTAGGATCCCAAAACCGTGTGGTGACAGACCGTGCGGTGACCTCGGAACCCCAAGAGACCTCACCGCACGGTTCGCCACCGCACGGTCTTGGGGCTCTGGGGGCCCCTGTCGCCCGAAACATCCTCGGATAGGGGCCCGAGTCCCAAAACCGTGCGGTGACCCCGATTCCCCACCGAATCACCACACGGTGTGGTCACCGCGCCGATTGGTGGCCCCAGAACAAATTACACTTCGGAAACACGCACGGATCTCTTAGATCGGCACTGGGTCCCCTGCCTGCGGAGCGCGCCAGGGGCGGTGCTAGAGACGCCGCCTGGGGGGTCATCGCAGATCCAAAAAACACCGCGCGGACCTCCGACATATTATGGTTTGGGGGCTTTTTGTTCCGATGTTTCTTCTGCGACTGAAGCCAGGGCATGCGACGTCATGATTTGTTCAACACGTTGTCCCCGGAAGTCCCGACCCTTTCCCCAGAACCGGCTCTTTCTCTCGAGCCGTTGTCGGACGGTCCTAGGGCCCGGCGAGGGCCCCCGGAGGCCAAAACAGCTAAAAACCTCCCGTAGTGATTTTGTCCACGACGCGAGCATGTCTGGGAGGATGCTGGGGAGGAGGTAGACGACTCCCGAGGGAGGGGAGAGGAGAAGGAGGTCCCGCCCCACCCCCACAACGAACACCCGAGGGAGGTGCCCGCAGCGGTGGAGGTGGGCCCACACAGTGCCCGCGCCGCCGGCGCGCATCCGAGGCCGGCCTCACGCCCCAGAGGGTGCCTCAGATTCAGAACACTCGCCCCCGACAGCGTTGGCGCTGGCCCGGGCAGCATCGAGGGCGTACGCCTCGCGTCCGAGCTCTTCCGCCCTAGCGCGCGAACGAAAACCGAAGGCCCATAGGCATCGCTTATGGCCATTCGGGGGTATTCACTGCCCCACCGCATCGGTTGGTCTAGGGCCGCGCGGCGCGCGTCAGGCATCCTCGTTGCCTGCGCCGCGTCGGGCCCACAGAAATGCTCCCTCCACTGCGCGCGCAGCCCCGCTGATGGCCCAGCCAATTCGCCTATGCGGGCGCGCCACGCGTGGTGGGGATGAACGCCTCTCTCGGCCCTGCTGCGTATGCTCTGCGCCCGGGGGGTGCGACCTCCCGCGTGCGAGCATTCTGCCTTGAGACCACGGCCGACTCCTGGGCACGTGGCGTGCCCAAAGCAACGCGTACAAATCAGAATATGCGAGCTCGCTCCCTTTGGGCCCTGCGCCGGTTGCTCCCATTCGAGCACTGGTGCTGCTAAAACGGAGTGGCCCTGCACCCGCCATGGTCCTCGAGACGGGCCGCCAGCCTCGTCGAGGTCCCCTGGGGGCACAGCAGGCCGGTCATGAGTGTCCCCGCCGTCCCCCTCACCGTCACTCCCCGACACAGGCCAGATCGTTTCCACGACAACCGTGCGTGCGGCCTCGAGCCCCTGATGGTCCCGAACCCCCGAGGCAGAGAGCACGGCCTCCAGCCTACCTGTGAACCGCGTGAGGCGCCGAGCAATTTCTAGGCACCCTCGCAGGAGGTTTCTGTCTTCCTCCCGAAGGCGGCCCAGCGACGCTCCTCTCTTAGCTACCTGATCGGCGGCATGGTTGCCGTCCCTCTGCCATGCCGTGATGCGGCCCTCGACGACGTCGTCCCACGTCGAGTGAGCCTGAACCTTACAAAAAGAAACATCGAGGGCGCCGCCACCAGCGGCCTGCTGCCACAGGTGCGCGCGAGCCTCGGAAGGGCCCTGCGCGCAAGCTAAATTCTGCCCACAAGACACCGTGCCCTGACAGTCAACATGCATTGTGTACCTACCGGCCACGTGCCGAGACGCCATTAGAACGGCATAGTCTTCGCCATCCCGCGCGCTCTGTCCTGGGCAGAGCTCGCGCGGGACGGCCCCGTACAACTTGCCAAGGGGCCTAAATTGAGCATCGAATGCGGCGAGGCCCCACCCCGCCGAACGATGCGTAGGCCATTCGGCGTCAAAACACGCTCCATCTGGGAACACGTGCCCCCCATCCAGCATGAGACCTGTCGCTGGCCAAGCTTCCGCTCGAAGCTCCGCTCCTGGAGGGAGGGGGGGACGACGGAGGCAGAGGGATGGGTCGGGCAACAGAGCGCGAGCGAACCTCTCCCCCGGCTCCCAGCCCCCCTCCCGCGCGACATCGGCCGCCTCGGCCAGATCAGCATCGAGATTGCCGGCCCTCCAGGCCCGGTGGGCCGGACACCGAAAAAATCTGTGATGGAGCGTGCCAGCCTCTTCCCGGCAGCACTGGCACAAATCCGAAAGCCCCAGCCCGCCCTCCACCCTCGCGAGTCGATCCTGGCACCAATGCGTTCCAAGAAGCAGGCCGCGCTGCGAACGCTTGTGGTGGACTGTCCACCCCTGGCTGGGGGGAGGCGGGGGAGGAGGAGGAGGAGGAGGAGGAGGAGGAGGAGGAGGAGGAGGAGGAGGAGGAGGAGGAGGAGGAGGAGGATAGACGAGGGAGGAGGCGGAGGAGGAGGAGGAGGAGGAAAAGACGGAAGCACACGCCAGCCGAGCGCGGGCAGCGAGCAGGAGAGGGAAGGGGGTGCGGCAGCGGCAGGCGGAGCAGCAGGCAGCCCAGGGGGGGGAGGCTGGCCGTGGGTGGGTCAAGGGGGGGCGGCGGCGGCCACCCTCCCGGCTCAGCTCGGGACAACCCTGTTAGATACCCCCTCTGCGTGGCCTGGACACGCTGAATTCGCGCCCCCGCTCGAGAGATCCTCGCAATGCCTTCCCTGGAGAGGCCCCCAACGCGCCACCCCCTGTCCAGAGCAATAAAACATCAGTGCTCTGTATTGGGAGATGTGTTCGGATAGCCTGGACACGTAAAACTCGGCGTTGGGTCCGACGCCATGTTAGACATTCCCCTGGGCGGCCTGGACACGTAAAAACACGTCCCTCCTCCCCCCTTCCCTGCGTTTCGCCCCTATCGAGCTGAGGCACGGGAGCGGCGCCGACATCGCCTCGTGGTCCTTCCGGGCCACTTTGTGGCCCAGTGGCTCAGTCTCCTGCCCCTCCCGAGGTCGTGCGCCGATGCTTTTCTCACAGCAGCCCCTTGCAGGCTCAGGCCTCACGAGGCCCCACGGCACGCGCACGACCCGGCGTCCAGGCCACCGTCTGCCGCCGCCGCCCCGGATGCTGGGCCAGGGGTGCCTCTGGCCCGAGGTGCCCCCTGGGTGTCCGAAGGGGTCGAGCTGCAACCCCAGAGCACTCCGCACGAGACCTCAGGTTTTTGTTCGTCAATATGGGTTGCTTTGCTCGGCCCAGGGGCCGTGCGAGTGCCCCAGGAAGCGGAAATCGGGAACAATTCCCCATCAATAGAACGCTGCAACATGGTGCACCAAAAACTCGACAGGAGCCTTGGACCCCATCTTTCTGCTGCAATTCCCAAGCCGGATGGATACGTGAGGGTCCAAAGCCCGAAGCAGTGCAAAATCGCCTGCTGCGAAAAAAAGTGACGCCAGGATCCCAGAGCCTCCCTCCTCAAACCTCTCCCTCTCTATCCTCTCCCTCCTCCGCCTGCTCGATCAACCCTCCCTCCATCCCTCCTTCCCTGATCCCTCCCCCCCTCCTCCTGGAAGAGGCCGCTGTCCCCGCCGAGCCTGGCGCCCCACGTCCACTGCGAGCCTGGCCGGGAGCCAGGGGTCCCTGGCTGTCGCTCCATCCTGCCTTTGGGGCCCAGAACGACAAGAGGTGTACCGATACCGCTACTCCCCAGAAATCGGGGTGTCAGAACTCTGGCGAGAACCCAGCTGCGGCGTCCAGAACTCTCCAGGACGAGCAGTGGGATCAATTGAGCAGGGACCGACCGTCTCGGCATTCCTATAGGTCTACCACGACATGTTCTGAGAACCCAGGAATGTTCTCAGAACAAAACAATGTTCTTAGAACATGGACCCGATGTGTTAAATCAAGACAGTCCCAGCCAGAGACGTTCTAAGAACATGTCGTACAAAAGAGCCACAAAAAAACAGATTCTTAGAACATCGTTTGGTAGGCCTATAGGCGAGCCAGGACGCTTCACCTCTGCTTGAACCAGTACCTCTTCCTCCTCTGAACATCATTCTCTCCTCCCACCCGCCCTCCCACCCTCCCGCCCTCCCTCCCTCCCTCTTCCCCCCCCCTCCCCGACGCGACCGAGGCCCCCGCCGAGCCCGGCGTGCCACGTCCACTGCGAGCCCGGCCGGAAGCCGGGGGTGCCCGGCTGGTGGCGGGTTTTTTCGGCGAGGAGGGGGGAGAGGCGTGCGGCAAGAAGGCTTCCCGAGGACGGACGACCGCCGGAAACCGAGAAAAACGCCCAACAAGCGAAAAGCTAGAACACCTCGCCTCGCTCCTTGACTGGAGGCTTTCGCGGCCGGGGTGTTGTAACCTCCCTTCCTTGGCTGAGGCACAACGGCCGAACTGGCTCGAGCCGAACACCCGCTGGCGCCAGTACGGGACACACAAAACGCGCGCAGCCCGAGCGGGGAGTCGGGCGCAGCATCGCTCGCCTGCGTCGCTGGACAGCAGCGCGAGCGCCAACGCTAAAAGAACACTGATAAAGCTCCCCAGCCATGATACCACTGCTCCACCTCCTCCTGCTCCTCCTAAAAACTCATCCTTCCTCTTCTTCCCCCTCCCCCTCCGCCTCATCCTTCCTGTCCTCCTCCTCCTCCTCGTCCTCCTCCTCCTCCTCCTCTTCCTCCTCCTCCTTCCCCTCCACCTCCACCTCCTCCTCCTCATCCTCCTCCTCTTCCTCCTCCTCCTCCTCCTCCTCCTCCTCCTCCTCTTGCGCTCGAGCCGTAGCCGCAACCGTGTTGCCACTTTCCCCGCACGCGCTCACGGCTCTGGCCCAGCGAACCACTTGAGAGTGCGAGTGAGGCGGAGGCGGAGGCTCCCCGGGTGCGAACCACTTGAGGTGCGAGGCGGAGGTTCCCCCGTGCCTCCTCCGCCTTGGCGGCCTCGCATGCCAGCTTGGCAAGGTGCCGCACCGACGCCTCTCCCGGTGTGGCAGGGTGCTGCGGCGCCGCCCCCCGTCCGCCCCCCTCGTTGTGTGGCAGGGCGCTGCGCCTCCCATCCCTCCGCCACGGCACCCGCCGCCGCCCGCCGCCGATCGCCCAGCTGAACACACGCTGCAAGAGGTCCACCAGCGGGTGTGATCGTTGTTCCACAGCTTCAGCTTGCTGCAGGCAGCTCACAAGTCCCTGGAGATGGACCTGACGCGTCGCTGCCAGTTCCTCCGCCGCCGCCAGGAAGCTTCGACTCCGAGGGCTGCATGGCCAAGGCCCCACGTGCAGAAGGACAATCTGCTGTCCATCGTCTCCATCGTTGGCACCGTTCGACGTCGGACAAATCCAATGATGCCTGCGACGCTTGCGCGTGTGATAGCCTGCGCATTGTGGAATGTGACGCTCTGCTGTTTGCCTCAATGGGGCACCACCCATCGACTCCACAGGCAGCCCCTTGCCTAGAGAGATACTTGCAAAGCGCGGCGCTTTGAATGCTCCTACGGTTGGCAGCAAGCGAGTTCCGCCAACTAACTTCGCCAATATGTTCGGTCCTCGCCCTCCCGTGCCTGAACCGATACTTGAGCCCCCCAGGCTAATACAGATGAACGGGAGCAAGCTCAGCTTGACCTGAAAGCAGTGCTTTCTAGCAGCTATGCCGATGCAAAGCCAAGACGATCTGTAAAGAAGCGGGCTGCCCCCACTCATTATGCTAACGCGAAGGCTCACCTAGAGCTGCTCGGAGGAGACATCACAGCATACCTCCAGGCCCTACGCGCTGGAGTTCAGGGCTGGATCTAAACGTTGGTGTTCGTGTTGGATTCGTTGTGTGTTTCGTTTTGCTCTACCTGCTTTCCTGCACCTCCCTGCCAAAACGAACAACAAAAGCACAGCCGAAGTCCAGCAACACAGCGTTATGGTCCAGCCGTGCTGGAATTTCCTATGAGAGTGCGGTGCACATCGGCGCGATGCCAGGGCAGGAGGCCTCCGTCGCCCGCGCGTGTGAAGCTTCCCAGGCCCCTTCACTGCAACCCCAGCGGGACGCGAGTGAGAAAGCTTCAGCGCCATGCGGGCTCCCGATGTGCAAAGCGTGCGAGAAGAGTTCATGGGCCGTCCTGCGAGCTCACATAGGTTGGCTCCATTGTCTGAAGCGATCTCCCACTCTGCGACCATCCGTGCCACTTCTGCCGACGCACCACTCACGACGGACGCGCTGGCGCAAAACTAATACGTGCAAGGCAACCAAAGGGTTCCAGCGCCGTGCTTGTATTGAGGACTCCCTGCACGAAAGAAGGATGCTCTGATAGCCTGGTCCCGCCGCAGATCACGGAACGTTCTGAACATCTCCCCAGTGCCTGACAACAAAGCCAGCTAACTAACTCCATTATTGCGAGGCGCGGGCCTGCCGATGCATGCTAGCATCTCCTTCACGGCGCTCTCGTTTGCACTTGGGCTCCCTGGCGTGCTGCAGGTCTGTCCACGTTCTCTGCGTGCGAGCCGTCCACTCTTCAGACGACCCGTCTGGTGCGGATGCGCGGTAAGGATGCAAGGGAGGGACTCTCGGACGCCCGCTTCGAGGCTGCTCGAGCCGGGGCGCGGCCAACCGAAGTGGGCAAGGATGGACCGAGGAGGCAAGGCAGCAATGAAGGCGCCCCAGGACACACAAATAAATACACACAAATAAAACAATTTCCCATATTTTCCCATATTTTCTGGGTTTTTGTCTTCCCCCCCACTTCCCATATTTTCCCATATTTTCCTGGGAATCGACGATTAATTGTGTCTGTGTGTTTTTTCCTCTCCTGAAGCAAGGGCACCCTGGGCAAGCTTGCCCATCCTTGCTATGCGAGCCGGCTGTAAGGAGCCTGGTCGTCTCCACTCGCTCGGGCACGGCTGCGCTCCGTCAGTGCTGCACGCGGTGCCTCGGACACCACCCTCGCCAAAGCCTGCCTTGCAGTTCGGGGCGCGCTGCCCGCCTGCATCCCCCTCGCGGTCTCCCCCGTCACCCCTTGGTCGGCGCACCTGCCTGTGGCCCTGTTTGTCGCGGCTGCCTGCATACGTCCTGCATTCGGTGGGTCGGTGCCCCTCTCTGGTGCACGCGTGGCCGCTACTAGTGGCTCCGCGCTGTCTGTCTCTCCGCATTGCAAAAAACTGCTTTGCTTGGCCGTGTCTTTGCATTGAATTGCAAAATTCCGCTGTACATTTGCACATTGCAATTCGCCGTGTCTCAACATTTGCAAATACCCGTCTCTACATTGCAACACGTGTCCGTCTGTCCGTCTTTGCTTAGCTGTCCTTGGCAGGCGCTGACTTTCTGCAGGTCGCCTGACACACAATGTGCTGTATCAAGCCTCGCTGTCGCAAATGCTTGCTGTGCTTCTCTCCCTTCCCGTGTCCTTCCTCCTGGCTGGGTTGGGGCACGCCCACTCGGGCCGTCGAACCTCCCGTGCTTACCTCCCTGGTTGGCCCCCTGAAGCCGTCAATCACGGCGACGACCGTCATTCGCACGGGGTGTGGTGCCATGCCTGGGTCAGGGGCGCTGCCCGCAGGCTTTTCTGCACATATGTTTCGCCCCATACGTTTCATACCTGTGCTTCTTTACAGGCTGACAATAAGCCTTCATGCCGTTCCGATCCGATCCGATCCGATCCGATCCGATCCTCCGCCTCCTCCTCCTCCTCCTCCTCCTCCTCCTCCTCCTCCTCCTCCTCCTCCTCCTCCTCCTCCTCTCTACCCTTACACTCACCCGTACCCCTCGCCCTCCTCCTTCCCGAACGACAGAAACAGAGCATCGTCTTCATCCCCGTGTGGTACTCCTCCTCCCCTGCTACCCGCACCCTCGCTCGCGCCCCGCACCCACCTCCTCCTCCTCCTCCTCCTCCTCCTCCTCCTCCTCCTGTTCCTCCTATTAATGTCCTTCCTCCTCTGGCTCCTACTAAGAGCACGAGACGAGGGCCTCACTCATGCTTGCTCATTCTGCTCCTTGGCATCCTTCCCCGAGAGAAAAGTCCGCTCCTGGAAGCCCGCCGCCCCATAGCCACTGCCGCTGCCCAGGACCACGACGTGCGTGCTCCAGTTGTGGGAGGCCACGACGTTGGAGACGATGTACCTCCGGGCACACGCTCTAATGGCATGGTAAGACGAAGCCAAGACGAGGATCAGATCGGGTGAGGGTAAATCGGGAATCTCTGAGATCCGGCGGCTGTGGAGAATGTCTCGGGCGCCGCGGCCTTCTCAAAGCGTTCCATAAAACTCTGAGAGCGTTCCAGAACGCTCAGATTTACCCTCGTCCTAGCCCCGTCCGACATGGATTAAGGATTTGTGGATCCTGGATCTGGGATCCCAGCCAGCCCTGTCCGACGTGGATCTGGCGAGACCAGTGCACAAGGGAAGGTCCCCCCCGAAACCCGAAGCCAACGTCGCCTCGTTTGGCGACGGAGCGCGCCGAGACTGTCCGGAAGCGGGGCCCGTCGCGAATCCACGCGCCTGAAGCCATCTCCCCGCCTCCTCGACACGTCTGCTGGAGGACGTCCTCCGCCCGA